CCGTTTAACATATGTTCCTCATAAAGTTTGAATCTTGTAGTTGGTCTCTGATTGTTGCCGTCAATCTTGTCTAAGTTGGGGAGGAAAAGATCTTATGATTTTAGTGCATTTTGTGTGCGATTTTTATTCCTTTTCATAATTAGGCATGTTTGCATATGATTTCCTTTTTGAACAATGATCCGAGAATATATGGGAGGACATTATCAAGGGTAAAATCTGATTTCTTTCCAAAATTTCGAAATAATGAGAACCGCTATTTGTGTGAATGGTTTTAGTTTGGTTGATCTTTGGATTATTGGAGGGATTAGTTTCACTAATTATTTTTGAATTTTTCCCTCTCTCTCTCTCTCTCCTAAAACCGCCTCCATTACCACCTTGATTTTCGGAACCTACCTTTTGCGGTTTCCTAAGATCCAACGTCTCTCAACTGATCTTAACACACGTTTCTTCTTATTTTATTTCACTTTATTGGTTCTTTCTTGTCTCTCTCTCCTTTGTTCATCCTCACCGATTGAAACCCTAAATTTCCCTTTCTCAAATCGTCATTCTTCTCCCATGGCTGGAGGCAAAGAAAAATCCAAGCGCCGACTCCAGAAGCAGAAAGAAAAGCGACTCAAGCGCCGCCGTCTTTCCTTGTCCACTGGCTCTGCTCGTGAACCTTCGCCACCAGCAAAAGACCCGGCCCCTGAATCTTCGCATTCAACTAAATCTGCTTCTCACGCCTCTTCTTCGTCTGGCTCTCAGTCGAAATCTGACAATGTCCGCAAGAATCTTGAAGTTTCACCACTTGCAACTGGAGTTCCTGGACTTTCTGGGCCTGCTGAACCACTTGCCGTCCCAACTCAGGGGGAGTCATCTGCTGTTCCAACTTCTGCAACTAAGTCTGTCACCAAAACGACGACTACCGAGGGAGAAAAGGATGACACGGCAGCTACCACCGTTGAAGTCCACTCTGACCAACCATCGCCTCCTTCGAAGGTTCCCGTCCGTCGTTCCACCCGCCGTCGTGGGAAGGCCATCGACGAACCTCTTGTCCCTCCTGAACCTGAAGATGATGCATATGATCTTGAGAACACTTTCACCAATCGATTCTATACCGAAGCGGCCCATGAACGTTTTGTTAACTTTGGATCTTATGAGTTCTGGTCGGAACATCCTGTGACCGATGGTAAGTTTGTTGAACTTGGTGTGCTTCGTTTGATCGAGCAAGTGGGTCTTTCTAAGACCGTGTCTGATGTTAAGCCCTTTTGTGGCCAAGCTGTCAAAGAATTCTATGCTAATCTCACTCCTGCTGTTTTTGACTCTGATAGCCCTCGCTTTCATAAACTTTTTCTTCGCAACCGTGTGATTGATGTGTCTCCTGAGTTGTTTAATGCCCATCTTGGTTTGCCCTCTGATCTTGATAGCTCTTCTCTCTCTGACGTTGACTTGGATGAAATGACCACTGTTCTTACCTCTGGTCAGTTGGATATTTGGCCTGGTTCTAACCTCTCTGTGAATTCCCTTTGCTTAGTTGCTAACTTGCTGCATAAAATTGGCGCTGGCAATTGGACCCCCACTTCAAATAAAACTCTGCTTACCGAGCTGCAATGCAAAGTCATTTATTGGGTCATGATTGGGAAAGTTTTTAGCTTTGGGGATCTTTTCTGCCATATTCTTCAATCCTTTGTAGCTAACATTGAGTCCCGCAAAACTCTTCCCTTCCCCTGTCTCATTTGGTCCTTCTTGTCTGCTCATAATTTCTCTGTCAACCTTCGCTTCCAAGACTCTCTTGAGAATCCCAGGAAAGCACTCTCTGTTAGTGCTCGTACTTTGAATGAAAAAGGGATTTCCAAGGTCACGAAGGAACTCGCTCCTTCTTTGGTCCCAAAGAATTGGGGTGAGTTTGTGGCTCAGCAACTTGGAGAATGGGATGATTTGGCCAAGAAGGTTGCTGCTCAACAGGCTTATCTTCGCCAAGTGCTGCAGGCTGTCAAGGGATCAACTCGGAACTCGGGGACAGGCCCTTCGGCATCCCGTAGTTCGAAAAAGGGGGAGAAGGTTCCTGCTGCTAGTAAGAGCATTAACAAAGAGGATGAAGAGTCTGATGATGCCACTGAAAAGCTTGGAGATGAGGAGTAGTTAGCTTGGAGTAGCTTTTGTTGCTTTGTGTGTTTTGAGGGTTGTAGGGTAGCTTTTTTATGTGGTTGGTTAGTTGCTGTTTGTTTCTAAGTTTGTTTTATGGGATTAATGGAGTTGTTTTGTTGTCCTTACTGTCTATGGTTGAAATGAATTTGGAAGCATTTTGTTGAATTTTGATGACTGCAGGAACTAAGGGGGAGAACTGCTTTAAGGAGAACTTGTGATGTATTGAACTAATCTTTACTTGATTTTATCTGTGGGTGCTTGTTGTTCTTATTGCTGTAGGAGACTTTCAAGTCTGATGTTTTCGAACTAGATGCCAAAGGGGGAGATTGAAAGATATTTTATTTTGGCATTAGTTCGTTATTTCGAACAAGCACCTGGAACCACAGAATCAAAGGGAAGATCTTTGTATATTATGTTTCCTTAAGTAATATTATTTTATATTCCTTATATAAGTCCGTGTAGATCTTATTATGGTTTTGGAAATGACAGGGAATCGCTCGTGAGGAGAGAAGGAAGAGGTAGAAAAGAGACATGCTTGGAGAGGAGATCAAAGAGAGAGAAAAGAAGATTTACTTACCAAAGATATGGTATCCTTGGAAGTAAATCTTGTTTGAAGTCCTATGCCTTGTAGAAGACTCCAACCCTAAAAGGAGTTCATATAAATACCCTAGAAGAAGCTTATGGCGGCCGTGGATTTTCACAGAGAAATATTCGAGAGCCATTCAAGCTTCATTTTGCTTTCAGTTCTATTTCGGTTGTATTCAGTTCAGTCTGAGAGTTCTTACAAACTCAAGGACTGGTACTGCTTTCAATTAGTTCTTTATTCATTCATCTAAACTATTTTACCGTATATACACTTAGGGAGTAAGTGTAGGTTTATAAGTCCACGGGACGTGGCCGGAGAATTAGTTGATAGGATCAAGTAGTGTTGGCTAGATTTGAAGGGAGTTCGAGTCTTTGTAAGTCCAAACTATGTATATGAGTGATCTATCAATGAAAGAGCTCTGAGGGGAAGTGGGATGCTTCCCTGAAGAGTTTATTAATCTTCGGTTGTTTGCTTCCGCATTTTACAATTCTTATCATAGTTCGTACTACTATTCGCGCACTCCGTGACAAATATAAGTTTCAAAGACAATAGTTGTTATGAATTGCCAAAAAAATCAATTTAATAGTCCATTTGGGTCAGACATTTTTTAATCATTGTGTCAATGCATATAATTATTAAGCGGGTTATCATGCTATATTGTTTGATAAAAAATAAAAATGCATAATTATAGTATGAAATATCATATTTTATTTATGTTGTTTTTTAGAGTAAGACATTTTAGATTTTAGAGTATGTATATCTATCGAAAAATTAGTGTCGTCTACCTGTTAGGCGTCCTTTAACACCAATTTTACTATTTTCTTAGGTAGCCTTATTTTTTTTTTTTTTCATTTTTCATTTTCTTTTTCCTTTCACC